TATATACATACAAATTTGCTGTTTCACTGCCAATTTCATAGTTAACATTGAAATCTTCACTGTACAGAAGAATCTTAGTTTTGATTGAGACAGAGGGGAAAGTTGATTGGGATTTTTACTTCCTGAACCCTACTGTTGCGCTCTGTCGTTTGTGGCGGATCTCTGACTGAATGTCTCTGATTGGGCTTCTGAATAATGAGAAGCAAATTCAACATCTCATTGGCTGATCATCTCCATCACTGCTGGTTAAACAGGAGGCCACATAGCCAAAGAACTTTGTACTAGAGTTTTTACAACATGGCACGTCAGTGTTAATCAAGTCAAATATAAGCACTGCAATAGGGGTTAACAAGAGATCACAAGTGCAATGCACTGTATGGCATACAAAGGTGATGTGTTATGGATAACAGGTCCACCTTTCTGTGACTAACAGTAAACAAGAGTTCACTGAACACCATCCATTTCAAGGCTGTGTTAACCAGGAACCAAAGACTTGCAGTTACACTCCAAATGATCATAAGGTGGACTACAGTTACAAGTAGGTTCAGTTACAGACTGAACACTTCAGCATGATGGGATAGAAGAACCACTTAAGAGTGGGCATAAACGGCCACAGGACTGCCTTTGTGACCTCAGCAAGGGGGCTTAATCACCAGTGTTAGCATGCTAGCATCATTAACATGTGGCTGCATAACGTTCATACATGCATTTCTCAGGTAGAACTCATGGGTAAATAAATAGAAACGCACCACTGTATTTGGTTAAAAAAATAAAAGCAGTAAATGATTTTTAAATTCATAATCAGAGGGTTTTGGCTGTGGAAGAGGTCAACAGTGTTCTTCACTATCCAGTTGAGCCATTTCGAGCGCTCATACTGTACAGTCAGCATTGTTTATCGGAGCACAACTGGGAATGTCATCCCAGGCTTTGTGATGAAGAGTCTCAGTAGCTATGTTTGCATTCAAACTTGCGAATTAGACTGGAATATTGCATAAAACATTTGCGAATCAAGTACCGTTTCCATTTCATGTGTTCCAGAGAACAAAATAGTCAATTCCTGGTAAAACTGGCGTAAAGAAAAAAAATTTTTTTCCCCTACATAATATATGATTTCAATGGTATGCAATGAAATCGGTCACCCAGTCACATGTTGAGGCACTTGAGTTTTGTTGCGCAACCAGGCATTAATTCGCAAATGTGTTTCCATTGTAGCTTACAGTTATATGCATGTTTTCTTATTGAATAAAAAGACATATTAACCTAAATTGATCTAGCGTGCAACTTTTATGTAATTTCCATTTCGTGTTTATGCAATATCCCAAATTTGCATGAAAATACATGGATGGAAACATAGCAGATAAGGTCCTCTACATCTACTCAATGGCCACAGAGAAGAAAATCTTTATCCTGAGCCCTGTGACTTTTAGCAACAGCCCTGCATAGGTTATTGGGAAGCTAGTTGTACCTTTTGCAACCATTCACATCATCCTTACAGTAGCAACACTGTCCTTTGTTGATTCGTTATCAACTGACCATCATCCGCTTGAGGAGCGTGACGCTAAACAAGAGTCTATCACAGTGTTCATGCCTCAGAAGATGGGTTTGATCTTCGCTACTGTATGCAGATATATTTCTTCCACCACGACTTCGAGAGCATTTTCATTTTATCAGCAGTACTGTGGACCTTCCGCTCTCGTCTGGATCTTCGATCGGAGTGTCGGAGCCCGACGGAGATGGCGGCGTCAAACACCTCCTTAAGGTTTTTCTGTGTGAGAGAGGAGCATTCTATGTAGGCTACCGCTCCTATTTTGTCCGCCAGGGCTCGGGCGTCTTCTTCCGGGACGGGTCGCTCTCGGCGGCGTGCCAGTTCAATGAGGACCTTGACGTCCTGCCGTAGGTCGCACTGGGTGCCCACCAGCAGCACAGGTGTGAGCGGACAACGCCGTCGGATCTCCGGCACCCATTTTTCACCAATGTTCTGGAACGAAGCGGGGCTGACGACGCTGAAGCACAGGAGGAGGACGTCAGTCCGCGTGTAGCAGAAGTGACGCAACTTATCGAATTCATCCTGAGGTAGAGAGAGAAAGAGGAAAGTGTATCGTTACTGATGTTTAGAGGGTTTCGTAACACAAGGACTCTCTCAAAAATCATTTGCGGGATTCCAAATTGTTATTATAAATAATAAAATCCTTTAACTAGCTCTTGGGGTGTTTTATAATTCCCTGAAACAATTAAGTGAAATTATAGGTTGGCGCTCGCAAAGAACATTGCATGTGGAACACGCAGTGCACGCTTTAATCTTTTAAACTCGGCCAAAGTTTTCAACTCTGGCACACCCTGTCCCATTTATGCTGTACAAATGAATTGAAAGTATAAATCTGCTGAGCTTTTGGAGAGCAGGGCCTCTCAAAACTTTGAAAACACCAATTAAGCTTGACAGATAAGAAGCCAAACCTTTTCAATGCCTACGCTCCATCTACTTCTCATTATGAAATGCTAAGATTTAGATAACATTTGAAACATGAAAACAAAGAAGGTAAACCTATATTACTAATAAAAATATAATGCTGTAAATAAATAAATAAATAGCTGCTGAAATGGTATTATTCCATATATTTTGTTAAATTTACTTTTACATATTTAACTATTAAGTAACCACACATCACACATTAAACTTACTGAATGCACATGAATTTGTGTTTTAATCTATTTTTAATTTATGTTCTTTAGTGTAACCAATACGATTTTAATGCATGTAAGAATTATAAAATGTATGCATGTAAAAGATTTTACCACAAATATTTTCATATGAAATTGTTTAATGAATGTTTAATGAATGGTATATGGTTATTACAGCAATTAATTTACTGTATAGAATAAGTAAAGCTAGATACTGTATCATTTCAGTTTTTACAGTAATATGCTCTAGCCACCAATTAGAGTAATCTATAAATAACTGTTAAACAGCCACTGCAGTAGCTTTTACAGTAACTAGCTAGAAATTATTACTATTATTATTATTAATTAAATGTAATAATAATAATTATTATTATTGTTGTTGTTGTTTCTGCTTGGTGTTGGATTTTTATATTTTGGATTGATATATTAAAGGCAGGTTATGTGATTTTTCAAAAACACTTTAGAAAACTGATTCGGGCCGAATAGCAAAACAAACTTGTAGCCAATCAGCAATAAGGGGCGTGTCTACTCGTGATGTGGAGGAGAGCGCGTTCAGCGCATGGGACGGACATTAGCCGAGCCAGCGACAGGGGTAGGGGCGTGTTTGTTTTGGTGATTTCAAATATCAACATTGGCTACCAGAAATCGCTTACTCTGCCTTTAAGAAAGATGAACTGTGGTATACACAGGTGAATATATCAGTTTTGTACTGTATATACAGTCATATTACCCAGCCCTCCAATTATCACTCAAAAAAAAAAAGCACTTAAAAGTACATAGACGTCAACTTACTGACGCACAGACATCGCCTGATTGACTTTATTATCAAACAACGACTGTTTTCTTTTGTTGACATGGACACCTGCACAACACAATGGAAGTACGTCCAAACTGAAAGTAATAGACTTTTGTCATACTAGCCTTTGTTTCTCCGTATTGGGCAAAGTGCATTTGTTCTTTCCCTTTGAAATCTATATGAAAGCCTGTCGTAATATAACTGGGAAACTGAATTCTTATCTTCCCGTGTTTGCCTGAGCTTGCCTCTGCATTGAGTAAAGGGATTAATAGGTTATGTACTAAGAGGGCAGAGTCATTTATTTGTTAACTCATGTAATGCATGACAAAGGAGTGTCAGTTTCTGAGGTTCAAAGCCTTACACAAAACCCTTCAACAAAACAGTATAATATTCCAATGTGGAAAGCGGAATGAATGTACAGCCAGGGGCCTTTTCAAATGATTTTCAGTGATACGTGAAGGTAGTTACACAACTGCAGATTGAAAATAATCAGTGCTGAAAAAGATTTGGCATCACAAACATCACTTGGAAGGCAAAACCGCTGGTTACATGGTACCCTGTCCAAGCCTGCATGGCTCAGAAACGGAGAGGGAGATCCAATAACTGAAGTGCCAGTAGCTTGAGGATTGTTCTTTTCGCTCTCTTTACGATTTCCTCACAGTATGGCGTCCTCGACCGAGCTCTTATAATTGCTAAGATTTTGTTGTGCATTCACTTTGTCATCCAATTTCCAAATCGTGGTTCCAGAGAGTGACAGAAATGCCAGCCCCAAACAAAAAGATGCAGTTATTTGATGTTCGTCTTTGGGGTGCATGATGCATCGGATAGTTGAGGTACGAGACTAGGATGCAGGTGGTGCAGTGGAGTTCTTACCTGTCCTGCAGTGTCACAAAGCTGCAGTCTCACTGGTTGTCCATCCACCTGTACGACCGCTGGAGAAAAAAAAAAA